AATGTATTTAATATATTTTCTTTCTTCATTTATCTCACTATTACTCTCTCACATTTATCTATTTATATATATAGGGGTATATTTGGAAAAAAACTATATTTGCTACATATTAATTGCTTTTAACTAATTTTAACTATTTTCTTAAACTGCACAATTTAGTTAAAAAGATCTTATAATAAAGGACAGAGTAGTAATGTTTAAGGTTTTTTTAAAATTTTTTTAAAAAAATAGATTACAAATGACTTATAGATAGGACTGTGAAAATTATTAGGCCAAAACAAATGAGAAGATTGGGTCTAGTTGTATCATAAATTAAAGTTCAAATCATGCTAGGAGAGGTGGCTATATTTAATAAGTAGTGCATAATAGCACCTCAAATAGTAGGATACCTGCGCCCCATGTGTCTAGAAAAAAAATTTATTAGGCCAAAAAACTTTGATATTTCAACTATTTGTTACAATAGTATAACGATAAATTTTAACCTTTTAATTTATTGCACGAGAAACTAGTGAGCTGGTAGAAATTAAAGGTCAGAGAAGCATGATGCATATAAAAATTACAAAGTCAAAATAACACCAACAGAAATGTAATCTAAATTTTCACAATTTCACCCTCAATGTCAATGAAGTATGAGTATTTTTAGCTTTAACCATCCTGAATAGTTATAAATTGGAATAATGCCTTTTTCTTTGTTCATTTTCGTTGTTTATTTTTTTGTGGTCAATGTACTCAATTTTAGCAACCAAATTAAACCAAAAGCATCATGGAGAATAGATTCTTTCCAATACATGAAAGAGAAATTGCATGGAACTCATCTTGAGCTGTGATTGTCTTTGATTTTGTCCGGAGATTTTGGAGAATTTGGCTTTACTTTGTGAGGCAGCATTTTTATTGCGCAAATTTTAGGCATGGAATTTATATTCCTAAGTTATCAAGAATCCATGGCATCTATTTTACTTCTCGGGAGATTTGTTATTAACGAGTCCAATACCTATATAATACGTATGGTGTAACATCCTAATTTTCATATATCTAATATTTAAACAAATTTTTATAGAATAGGTAGAGGTTAAATAATTAAAATAATTCTGATTTTATGTGTGTGTATGAGAAAATGAATAAAATAACAATGTTAAGAAGTCCCGCATTGATTAAATGATAGGAAGATAGGTAAAATAGCAATGTTAAGAAGTCCCATATCGACTAAATAATGGGAAGAGGAAGCTCTAGGAGCCTATATATAGGTGGTAGTAGGGGAGAGTTAAAGATGAATTAAATAATTTTCGCATAAAACTGAGACAATCTCAGTAAAGTGCTGTTTAGGGGTTTGTAAACCGTCGGATCGGGTTGCAATTTGGTTAGCTAATCCTAGATTTCAATTAGTGCTTTTAAATTTGTTCACCGTTGGATTAACCCGAAATTTAGAGAGTAGTCTTGTGACATGTAAGACATTAAATTCAACGGTTGGATTAATAATTAAACTTCTATAGTAAGAATAAATTAACTCATATTGAGGTTATCCGTCTAGATTCTTTGAAAATAGAACATACGTTATAAATTAAGGGTTCTCTATCTAAGTTGTGAATTTGGTGCTTCAAATAATATAATTTAATAATTAAAGATAACGTAAGTTAAGGAAGCCTAGGAATTGAATATAAATCATCATATACATGTGCTTATCCCAAACCTTAGAAAAAGCCTTTTGAGTTAGAATTTCGAGTAACAGCTGAAGGTATTAGATGGAGGGTTAAATGTTAGAAATTTGTGAGTAGTTTACTCTAATACTGTAGAAATAATGTTTTAATTTCGATTGTAGATATAAACCCTATTGTGGCATTTTCGAGTACGGGCATCGGTTGTACTTAACTGTTAGCTAGGATACCAGGTAACTAAATTTCTATCTATTACATGCATTGGTATGAGGTTGGTGAGTAATTTTATAACCAAGTTTCATATACATATATTATGTTTTGTATGAACTGTCGTGTGGGATATTGTTTTGAAAAGGATTGAAATCGTTTGTATTGTTAGAAATTAATGATTATGACTATGAGGTGTTATTCTGGAATTTGGTTGATTATGTATATAAATGTGTTATTTTGAACCCTGTGCATCTAGTTTGGGTGGGGAAAGGAGATGAATGGAGTTATTGAGATGTATATACTTATCACGTGGTATCAGCCTCCATACGGAGCTGTATGATTGGCCACTATTATTGTCCCACTGGTTCTTCGAGGGACTGCGACACCACACTAGTTCTTCGAGGGGGGACCCATGGTCCATCGAATGCTCTGTGGTCTTTGGCCGGTCCATATCACTCATGTGGTGAGCTTGTCAAAGTAGCCAGTCAAATGGAAAGAACTTAGCAAATGGGTCCAGTCGACGGAAATAAGGAGGATATAAGGATGGATTTGGGGTTTATGGACTGCATATAACATGGAATCTTCATTGATGTTTATATCTTTTAAATAAATAAAAAGTATGTTATCTCTTTTGAAATTATCAGTTGTATGAGATTGGCAGATATATTTGACCTATATGGTTATTGTAAGTTCAACTGTTAGATAAGTGTCTATTAACTATTATTAACTCTATGTATCCCACCTGACACCTCGCTAACCCATGCTAGTGTGTGTGATAGGTAGGGATTTAATTACTGAGACGTTGTCTCATCCCTATTGTTTAACATTTTTCAGGTGAAAGCTTTAAAGGAGAGACGTCATGGAAGGCTCAGGAGGAGTAAAGCTACATTAGCAACTTGTAGCGTCTCCTCGATTTATGAGCTATGTTGTATCCTGTATATTGCCACCTTAGGATAAATTGTTTTTAATTGATTCATGCATTATTATTTCTTATGTCCTTTGAGTGTACTATCGTGGTATGTGTGCTGATAGGTGGCCAGAGGCCTATGATCGCATGTGATTTGCTTATGAATTTATTATAAAATATGAATTAAGATTTAATTCTTAATATTTTAATTTATGTGCTATATTATATGTTGTTTTATAACTATATTAGAGAAGATTGATCCTTTCTTATATAGTTTGTATTTGAATGAGTTAAGAAAAGTTCTTTTATCCGTGATAGGATGTATGATTGGGTACTGCTTTTTTCTATCACGGATAACAATATTATATAATTAGTTAGTGTAGATGATTGTGATGTAATTTGAGTTTGTATTTAACATGGTTTGGTTATAAAAAGTTATTTCTTAAAGTTACTATGAAAAAGTTAAGTTTATCTGTTTATTTACGAAGGTTGTTTCATATGGACACTTATTAAATTGAAAAAAAATTGTTAACAAGTCCTCAATAAAAGAATTATTACTAAAAAGTATATAAGAATATGGCTGTTGAACGACAAATAAAAATGAGAGGTGATGCTTGGGATTCAAATTGAAAAAATCCATTAAAAGAGAATCCCATATGAGTGATTGCTTATTGCTTTAGTTTGATCAAATCCATGTACGTGGAATTGAGAAGTATTACGGAAAAAAGTGATATTATCCAATCTCAATTCCAAACCCATATGCTCAATTTTCATACGAACCTAGACCTGAGAAATTTGGGGTGCTCATGCACCATAAAATAATTTAAGATTTTAGATGCACATTAACCTTTTATTTTAATAATATTTTCTATACTTTTTTCGAATAAAACTCCCGATGTTTTGATAACCTATGTTTTTAATGGATTGAAACTTAGGTTAAAATATGGGTTATAAAAAAACAATAATCTTTATAATTTTGGCAAAAATAAAAAAAAAATTGAATGGAAATAAAATACTCGTCTTGTCCAAACAAAATAGTAAATAAAATACTGCTTTAAAAACCTCAAAACTCAATTATTATTATTACGTTTCTGATCCTTAATATAATACTTAATTAATATTAATTAAATTAATTAAAATAATATGTTTTTTTTAAAATATAATAATAATCTTCCTTAATTCTCTCTCTCTCCCTATTTGATTACTGTTGAGAAAATATTAATAAGATTAATTTAAAAAATAATAATAAACTTGTGAAATATATCGTACATATATGATCAATAAAGGTGTTTAACTTGTTCTGTCCTAGTTCCAGTTAATTTGGGATTGGACAAAAAAAATTTTGGGACAGGATGGGTCGTCCCATCCCGGGATATTTTTAAAAAAATTTATTTAGTTCACTTATTGATAATAATTATTTTTTATAATGATTTTCAGTTTCTATGTTGCAGTGTTATGTCAGCAAAATTTTCTTCCTCAAGAAACTAATTCGTAAGGCCATTATACAGTTTTTTTAATGATATTTTTTTACAATATTATTTTTACACTTTTTTTTATATTACATAATTGAGCTTTTTATATATTTTTTATAGTGTTTTTATCTTTAGAAGCCAAATAAAAAACAAATATTATAACATAAAAATATTCTTACCTAAAATTATAATTTTTTTTTTTTAAAAGGGACATCTAGTCTTGTCCTAGTCCCCATGAGACGGGATAGTCATGAGAGGAGACAAGACATAGGATAAAAATCTTGTGTTATTTCTGTTCATCACGACGAGCCTATTCTAATTTCATCTTGTTCCATGAACAGTTCTAATAATTAATATCAATTCTCAAATTAGATGCTACATTAAATTAAATTAAGTACCTGATTACTCTTCTAGTCCTATTTATAGGATAAAAAGAGAAGACATTTTTTAATCATATTTATAAGATACCGAGAGAAATTTTTTATATGGATGTATAATTTTATCCCTAATTTATTATTGTGTTGACTTTGTTTACATGAGGTATAATATATATTAAATAAGAATAAAGTTAAAAAATTAATAAATTTTAAATAAAAGTTAATAAAATTAATATTTTTGCAGGAGGAGTATTTTGTTGGCCGGTTCTTCTGCTGTGATTTTTTCCATATTGATTGACGCTTGCGGCTGCACAACTTGACAAATTGAAAACGTAGGCCCCACTCCATGGCCAATAATTCATCATCCTCCAACTCCTCGCTGGTTCGAAGCTGTCCCAATTGTCTCCTTCCTACGCTCCCTTCCCCTCCCCTCCTCACTTGCCTTCCCAATCGTCGCCTTCTCTTCTCACGAATCCTAAAACCCTAATTGCAACCGGTGATCCTTTCCGATTCCAATGCGTTGAAAGACCCAACTTCACAAAACAGCCAAAAGAAGATGCTTTCCTTCGCTTGCGTTCGGTTTTTACTGTTTTCTTGTCTCTCGTTTATCTCCGTACTTACAGCGACCTCTGCGTCCAGTTCGGGCTCTGGGAAATCGTCTATATATGATGTTCTTCACGACCATGGCCTCCCCGAGGGTGTGCTTCCGAAGGGCGTGAAGGAATTCGGCATCGATGGGGAGGGTCGATTCTGGGTGCATTTGGATCAAGCTTGTAATGCCCAGTTCGAGAACGAATTGCACTTTGAACGAAACGTTTCGGGCACTTTGAGTTACGGACAGATCGGGGCGTTATCGGGAATATCGGCTCAGGATCTCTTTCTCTGGTTCCCAGTGAAAGGTATTCGTGTGGATGTGCCGAATTCTGGGTTGATTTATTTTGATGTAGGTGTTGTCCGCAAGCAATTTTCTATGTCCCTGTTCGAGACGCCCCGGGATTGTGTAGCCGTTCGGAATGAGGATGTAGTTGGCTTTCAAGATGGGAGATTCATGGCTGAAGCTGTTTCCAAGGTTTGGTTAACTAATCTGCTAATTTCATTCCCTTGATTCATGTATGAGTTTCAGTTAACTCACTATATATTTGAGAAGCGGCAATTCATATTGACTCGGATATATTTTGAAGTAGTGTTGGACTGTATTTTCTGTTCCCGATATAATGAAGGAAGAACTAGGAAAGAAGCTGATTCTAGTCAACTTATATGTCCGTGGTTTAGTTTGTTGGATGTTCACGCTAATAACTACTCATTCATGTGTACTGTTCCTTTTTCTTCTTTTAGTTCTTAAGCATGAATATGTATCCTGCAGTGAGAAGTTAATGTCCCTGGAGTATAGAGAGATATAGAGGAAATTCTTTCTTTACTTCAGTGGCTCTTCACAAATTTACTAGTTGAGGATCCGAATCACTCTAGTAGAGGTACTTGAAACCATGGAATGTTTGTTTAAGGGAAACTGTTTGCTACACACAAATGGGTTGGGAATGCATAGAAAAGTGAAATAAAAAATGATTTTGCTGATTGAAAGTGACTTTAGTGCCTCTACTTTAAAAAGTCAGCATAACATGTTCGGACTTGTAGATATGCCCTTGAAGAAGAATGGAAGTTGTACTCATAAAATGATGAATGTGCAATATCCCAAGGCCTAAGGAAGAAATACAATTCCAGATGTAAATGAAAGAAGAAAAGGATGAGAAAGGGAACAATTCTTGACGTTCGGTGAAATGAAAATTATCAGAAATGAGCATTAGTGAGTGTATAAGCTATAACAGCTCATTTGGCATGGAGATGGAAAAGTGATTCAGCCATCCCCATATGTTTTGTGTGACGTTTATTGTGCTGTTATTATTGTTACTCATCAATGTCCATCTCTTCTCAACACACTGTGAGAATTCATAATAATGATATGGAGGAAAAAATAAAAATTGCAAGAAAGATATGATGATGAACTGAATACTTCTCCATCACCATACCGAATGAGGTCATAGTTTACATGATCTCATTGACGTTTATTTCTGGTAATTTTCATTTCAATTTTCAACTGATAAGAATTTTTTATTTTCTAAACTTCTCTTCCGTTTGCAACTAGAATACATTTCCTCCTTGGGCTTTAGGATAATGCTCATTCATCATTTTGTTTATTCTGGAGTTCAACTTATTTGCTTATTCGAGGGCATTTCTTCTGGCTTAAGCATGTGATAAGGTAACATTGTTCAAATGCTTTCTCTCTGTTACTTGGCCACTAGTTTTTCTCCAGGGAACCTCTATATGCAAAGAGATTGGATCGCTTTTCCACACTAATTAGATAATGACTTGTGTGACATTTTGAATTTTGTGGTTGACTCGCAATTTCTGAGTAATTTTTTGTCCTTGGTGTTTTAATTTACTTACTGTGGTGAAAAAAACTATGCTAAACAGGGTTTTATCTTTTGTAAACTGTTGAATGCAGGGTAAATCTTCTAAACTCCGATATCGGTTTGACCAGGAAAAACCAGAAAATATTGCAAGAAATGTACTGTAAACCCTGTAAGTGAAGGTAAACTAAAAGCTGCGATATGCCTCACAAGGCCTTAAAATTACACTGTATATGTTGTTGGAGAGTAGAGATTGACATTTTTCTATTTTTCTTCCTTGGGTTCTCTTTCATATGTTGCAGAACTAGTGCAGTAGAGGCAGTCCCTGCATCTCTATGTGATTATTTAGCAGGAACTCGGAAAAGGCGACGACAGGATGACTTTGAAGGATCAAGTGTGTTCTGAAATTGACAAGGCTAGATGAGAGCATTGGTTTCGATGAATTCAGGTGACGAGTCTGTGAAGAATCATGTTGAAAGTTATAATATATATTGGTGTATTTTACCGAGGCAATTTTGTAATAGAACTTTGTAATAAACAGTATTATATAGCGCTTTGTGATATATAAAGATTCATCCAGAAAATTTTGCATCCTTTAGCAAGAACTATATTTTACCTGCCCTGTGCATAGTCCTTTTGTCATGCCTCCCTTTGTCAATGAAGAATCAACAACAAGAAGTCTTTTCCAGTTATCCCACTAAATAGAGTTGACTACATGGATCACATAATGCAATTGTGCTTTATCAACAACCAATGAATCATCAGTGCCATGAATTCTTTTGGCATTCCATGTTTTCTGGCCTTTTACTGTTCATTAGCATTAGTGGTGTAATACCATTTCTTAATGACAGTTGAAGTTTGACTAGTTTCTGATGATGTAAATTCAATGAGTTAATTGTAGATTTGTAGTTTGCTTTAATTGGCAAGCACCAGGCCTTGTAAGTGTCGATGTATATTCTGATCAGCTGCCTCCACTAGGGACTCAACTTTATATTAATTTCAGTGTCCTGTATATTTCAGATCTGGTGTACTTTTAGTATGTGAGCTCCCAGCATTGTTAAAAACTCAGATACTATATGCATTTTGCCTGTGTATCCTGTAATGCACCTCCTCCTTATTGAAGTCATTTCACACACTACCATATTAGAGCCATCCATTGTTCGTATCTCAAACATTGAAGCATCTTCCGGACTGCAAGGTGTGGCTTGATCTGGCTTTACTTCCAATATAAGACCAACGTCCATGTCATGCAGCAGAATTGATTATATATATATATATATTGTATATATGATCAGTTTCTTTCTTTCTTTCCTCTTTTTTTTTTTTGGCCAATGGAGATATGACCAATTTCAATTGTACTGCTTGTAGAAATACCAGAAAGTGTTCAAGTGTGTGTTGTGTATAAACTCCGAGAGAATCAAAGTGCCAGCTTTCTGTTTGCTTTTCTTTTCCCTCTTTTTAAAATCCTTTTTTTTACTTAAAATTTCCTGCATCCAGCTTGACTAAAAATTTATGAAACATAAAATGAATAGTAATTCTATAATAAATCTATAGTACCAATGTATTGTAGCATCTAATCCTCTTCCCCTCTCGGGCACTCTTTCCACTTGGTATTGATATATTATTTTTCATACTATTTATTAATCTATTATAATAAAATACTACCTCATAGTCTCATATGATGATTAAGCAGTTTGAACTTTGACGACGCCAAACAAGTTAATTGGCAATCTTGAAATCACCTCAATTTGTACAAAACAAACACAGCAAACATGATCCATGCATATAGGTAACTTGGTTTAGGAGCGACTTATATTCTTTGTTTTTATAATAACATAGAAAAGTAGAAGACATTTTTCCATTCCATCAACGCAACTCAAGGACAAGCGAAATGCTTACAAAATTCTTAATCATCCCTACGGAAACGTTTCTGAATAGCATGTTTTGTATTCATCACTCTTTTCTTTGAATGATAACTTGAGGTTAAAGTTGGCGTTTAGCTATAACTCTGAAGCATTATTTAATTACGCTGGCAATTTTAAAATCATATTTTCAAAACACCATACCGTTTTAGACATTTCTCAAAGACCCCCATTTTAACACTTTTCCCAGCTGTCTTGTTCGTAACATTTTTTTCAGGCACTTCGAAGAGAGAGAGGGAGACTCCTCTTTATTATCTTTTAGTGATCAAATCATAGAACATGTTGGTTTACAAGTCAGCTTGAATTTTGCTCTATATATACCTCAAGAACACAGGAGTTCATCACAGCATCTTTCTTTCTCACACTTGACTGAGTCATCTGAAGCAGTATCTCCATTGTCTCTCTGTGACATGGCTTTCAAAATTCAATCTCAAAGTCGTCTTCCATTGGCCCTTGTTTTGCTTGGAATGTTGGCATTTCAAGCCTCATCTCGAATTCTTCAAGAAGCTTCAATGCAAGAGAGGCATGAGCAGTGGATGATTCGATATGGCAAAGTTTATAAGGACGCTCAGGAGAAGGAAAAGCGTTTCAATATATTCAAGCAAAATGTGGAATACATAGAGGGCTATAATAGTGCTGGAGCCAAACCTTATACGCTAGGCATGAACCAGTTTGCAGATCTCACCAATGAAGAATTCACAGCTTCTAGAAACAGATTCAAGGGTCATATGTGCTCCTCAATCTCAAGGACAACCTCTTTCAAATATGAGAACATGACTGATGTGCCTTCCTCTGTGGATTGGAGAAAGCAAGGTGCTGTGACACCTGTTAAGAACCAAGGCGATTGTGGTAAGTATTGTAAAATAATTATTCCTTAAAATTCACAATTTGATATTGAAGTTTTGCATATCTCTGTCTTACTTTTGATGCATTGTAGGATGTTGTTGGGCATTTTCTGCTGTGGCAGCAACAGAAGGGATCACTAAGTTGAGTATAGGAAAACTGATTTCTTTGTCAGAACAAGAGCTAGTTGATTGTGACACAGGTGTGGACCAAGGTTGTGAAGGAGGTTTAATGGATGATGCCTTCAAATTCATCATAAAAAACAAAGGTATTACCTCAGAAGCCAACTATCCATACAAGGGTGTTGATGGAACCTGCAATGCCAAGGAAGAAGCCAATCATGTAGCTGCCATTAATGGGTATGAAGATGTTCCTGCCAATAGTGAGCAGGCACTCCAAAAAGCAGTGGCTAACCAACCAGTTTCAGTGGCCATAGATGCAAGTGGATCTGATTTTCAGTTTTACTCAGGTGGCATTTTCACTGGTTCTTGCGGTACTGAGTTGGATCATGGTGTTACTGCCGTTGGTTATGGTGGTAGTGATGGTACCGAATATTGGCTTGTGAAAAACTCATGGGGAAGGGAATGGGGTGAAGAAGGATATATTAGGATGCAGAGGAATGTGAATGCTCAAGAAGGCCTCTGTGGCATAGCAATGCAAGCTTCTTATCCCACTGCATAATTGTTAAACGACATGCTCTGGTTTTCATCAAATCTTCTACAAATATTTAGAAAATGGCACTGAATATATTTGACACACCCTTAAACATGGTTCATGACTATGAGAGTTTGTGGCATTGTCATACTTCAGTTTAAATTACAGTACATGCATTGAGTCATTGTTGTATATATGTTGTGTATTTATAAATTATAATACAATGAAATATACTATGAAGACTATGAGTTATGTACATCTTCAGTTTATCTTTGTGGTATTTGAAGCCCTATTAGGCTCAAACTGATTTAAATCTAAAAATACCTTCCTAAATCCCAATCCCGACAACACTGTGATCCCTATAGATTGTGGAAAGCGCTGCTAATACAGAAGTGAAGATGAATATATTCCAAGTTGTAATGTTTAGTGCTAAAGTTATGGAGGTTATGAGAATAATTAAAAAAAAAAAAAAGAAAGATAAGAGTTTATATATCTTTTTATCAATATAATTAAATTGGATATTAGGTTCTGTGCATTGTATGATATGCTTGAGATTGTAAGTTGTACTGTTTACTACTCTATGGTTGGTAGCATTCTTCCATTAACTTTTACATTTATTGATGAATTATAGAATATAATGTAATCATTAAAAAAACGAAATGCCTTATAAATATTCTGATTCTTTCATCTGTTCTCCTTCATTTGTTACAGAATCATAGTTACTGGTGAATTGTGAATGATATATGTTGGCGTATTTTACAGAGTCAATTTTTTCCCCAATAAAGCTTTGTAATAAACTGAATCATATAGACTTGTGGTATAAAGATTCATGTAGAAAATTTTGCATTCCTTTATCAAGAATTATTGGTGCCTTTTCTTTGGAGACTCCTTTTGTCACGCTTAATATCTTGAAATTTGATCTTATTTTGATTTTGATCCATTAAATTTAAATCCAATGGTCTTAGTGTTTAAAACTTAACCTCATTTTGATTTTTTCCTGAAATTCTAGAATGTACACCAAACAGAGCAACATAATTCTTCATTACTAAATGCCCTTGAGCCAATTGAACTATGAGCATCAGACCTAATTTGAACGGTTAACCATGCATTTGTAATTTGAACAAGGTGGTGAAACATTTATTTTTCGTCAGGGGCAGCTCTGCAAAACCAAAAAAATGTGATATGAGATACAAATACCTTGATCGTTTCTGGAAGTAAATATGATTATTCCTGTCTCATCACCCACCAAACATTCAGCCATTTTAACAAAATTAAGGAGCATCAGGACGACCCTTCTGCGACAAAATCTTAGTACTGATCATGACCACCTTCATTGTTCCATTTGTCCCAACGAAGCTGCTCAACTTTGGTCAACAGTAGCTTCCTCAATCCAGATTTTGGTTCCAGCATCTTGATAAATATCCTCTGCAAATTCCACCCTCAAGAAAATGATCGAGCCTGACGGGCATAATAACAACACTTCTTGATTTGCCTGCAGATTATGAATATAGACATTATTTGGAAGTCCCACCTCGCCAACAATCTGACACAATTTACTGTTTATAAAGTCCACGTCATGCCTCCTCGTTTGCCGAGCTGGGTAACGCTAGCTTATGACTCAAGTGAGGGCATTAAGATGATGGGCTACAGCTTGGGCTTCACCAGTTGGTCTGTTTGCTGCATCATGCTGTCCCGCCCACTCCAAGTGGAGAGCTGGCTTATGGGACCTGAGCGAAAGCTTGAGCCTCGTAAGCCCTAAACCAGAGGGCACCGCGTGAGGCTGGTTTCACAGAGCAGCGAAAACCTCTGGCTCTCAACAGTGGAGGGATAACGGGCAGCTGCAGCTTCAGGCCACCATGGCCTGGTGACCTTAGCTGCCTACACCATCATCTTTTTTGACAGGTTCTAGAAACAGAAAAGGCCCGAGAAAACTCCTGCTTGTTGCATCAGAGACTCTTCCAGCAGTTCAGATCATATCTGAGGACGTGTTTCTCTAATAACGGAGCCATTTGCAATTGAATCTAACTCGACCCTCTCAATTTCTTTTTTTTTTTGAAATTTAATTTTCATTTCAAGCATTTGCTTTGGAAATTAGCCATATTATGAAAACCTCTACTGTACAATCAATACGATTGTTAGATAAAATGGACCGAGACATGACATTAGGATGGCCAACGTAAGCATCTTAATTAACTCTTATATTTAGAATCAAATGGGATACAAAAAGTATACTTTGAAATACAAAGTTAATTTATAGTACAAACTAATCATTTTCTAACCACATCAAAGTAATCTAAAGTTGAAATATTAAATTCGTCCTCTCGTCAACTTGATTTCTACACAAACAAGATCCACATTGCAGTTGGAAAAATGATAAGGGATACTTTACACCGGGTGTTGAGGTACAACTCCAATGCTTTCTTTGATGAGACGCCACAGGCTCTTAACGCCGTATCATGCGAAAACCATACCTAACAGTTAAAATTGTTAATGGTTAATGTCATTATTTTAACGATCTAAAATTAGTTTTTTTTTTTTAACAGTAAGGGACAGTATTTTTGGGATTTTAGATTTTTTGGATAAATTTATACCTAAAATAC